GTGTATAGCTGATTAATTACATTTCAATTCAATCATGGATAGCGAAGGATAATGTCCGTGAGAAAACTCCCATGCCACTCGTAGATGCAAGGGGACGATACGTGTTTGAAGCTGAAATTCAAATTTCTTAATGTTTTAATTAGTTTACATAACTGATTCAGTTATAATGTAAGAGTAACCAAGAGACTTGACAAGTACTGTAGTTAGGTTTAATAGTCGATTAACGCCAACCTGTTTTTAATGTTAAGTTTAATAGTTAAATGATTATCGCCAACCTGTTTTTAAACCATGTAGGTACTAAATATTACTGTTTTATACATCTGATATAAATCATTTTGCATCTCATATTTATAAAAGGACTACAAATACAATACCATATAATTTTTAGAGAAATTCACTTGATATTTTAAATAGCCGAAAATAAAAACTTTTTTACATAAAAAGCAGTATTTTAAAATATTCCACAAAATTTTCAATAAGTTGTGGCTTTCTTGTATGTAATTTGATGTATTTTGGTAATAAAAGGTTGTTTGAAAGTTTATAGAGTGTTAATTTTGTTGTTTTGGTAGACTTTTTGAGATTTTGTTTACATGGGACAAATTTGTAAGTCCGTGACATTTACAGATGTAATGTCCGTGACGCTACGTAATCCATATTATATAATGAAAATATTTTACATTTTCTATTTTTCACTCCTGATAAAGTTAGAACAACTATCTGTTTATTTGATTTAGGAAGGAAGTTCTGATATATGTAAAAACAGAACAGGAATTTTAATTTTCCTATATACCATCAAAAGTTATGTCGCAATCCTGTAATGTCCGTGACACGTACATTTTGCATTCTGACATACACACCGTAATTTTTTTTTTTTAATTTTGTGTTATATTCCTACAGTTGAGAGTGAATGGGAGTATAAAAACCAAAATTTGACTTGTTTTCATTGTGTAATCTATAAAATATAGCTCTTTATATTTTCAAATTTGTAATGTCCGTGACAAAAAAATACTGTGGAATGCCCCTTTAAATATTAGAAACATTTTCAATTCAAAGAAAAAAATCTGAAATCTAAAGTTAATAACAATGTTTGCTGCCCTCTATTGTTTGGATATTTTTTAATAATTGATTTTCATGTTTGCAGGTGAATGAATGGACAAAATATGATGAAAAGGTATTGCAAGCTGTGGAAGCTGGGGACCATGAGAAACTTCAGACCACTTTGACCAAGAAAGGTACTTCAGCGACCAAGTTAGATGCCGAAGGAAAGAGCGCGTAAGTTACAACCATGATAAAGACTAATTCAAGTGTTTGTGCTCTTCTTTCTTAATTTCTACAGATTTGTGGGTGGTAATTTGAAGATAAATATGCAAATTACTCAATTTGCATATGGTAATGTGAATTCTAAAAGTCATCTAATTACCTTGGAATGAAAGGTGCTAAATATGCATGTGAATAAATGATGAATATTAATCAAAATTGGAAAGTAATATCTAGAAAATTTTTCCCATGATGACAATCTCCATAGTGACAATTTTCCACTAAATCTCTACCAGGGTTTTCCTCCAAAAAAGTAGACAAAATATTACACAGGAAGGATATAATAGAGACATATTTTATAAAATATTGTATTATTCATTGGCTTTTCCTGTGTAGTTATATATGTCACTACATTTGTTTGTCAACCAGGGATGACAATGATACTAACATTTTGTCATCGAACTGCATGTATCACCCACTGACCCAAGAGAGAATTCTACAGAAGACTGTGATTGTCATAATATATTTTAAATATTATAGATGATATACACAAAAGGAGATATACCAAACTAGTAGTTACTTGATAATAGAAACCAGCATTTTTATAGAAAACAAGTTCTCGTAATCTTGAAAGCTCCGATGAGGGCAGTATAATAGAGGCAATAGAGTAGGTATACAAAAAGATATAATAATCAATCAGCTGAGTGTTTCTAAAGTTCCTCATCAGAGCTAAAAAGCTTGTGTATTGCACATGCTCACCATACATAATAAAGGTGTACATTTAAACATTTACTAAACATTGTCAATTACCAGATACTGTATGTAAAGTAGACATGGATGCTACATATTGAACTCTCATAAATGGTTAAATTAGTGACCATAAATGAAAATTGAAATCAGATTATGAGAGGCAATGATTACTGATGACAGTGATGATGGTGAAGATGAAGGTAATAATGAATGCATCAATGACAATGATTATGTCATGATAATATTGGTAATTGGATAATTAATAATGTGAAAGCTCAGCATTAATTGCCCTTCTTAAGAGTCATTTCCTGTATTAATACCTTGTCAAAGCCAATTTGGATTTTTAGTACCTTTTTCTTAGATATTCTGTAACTGCATATTAAAGGAATTAAAAAGATATTTAAAAACAAAATAAAATTCAAGTTATAATATAAACTTTAAAAGTTAGATCAAAGTTTTAAATTGCTTTAAATAAAGTAAACACTACAGGACTAATCCACAAACAGCTCTAGTCTTATTGTCTGCTCTACCAGTCACATGACCAAGAAGACTGACTAACATCCTATATTAGTCAAGAATTTACATCAACCAAAATATGATCCCCATTCTATTCTTAGAAACATGGAGCTGGAATGAACAGTTTCCTGCTAAATTGCTGCTGGTCAGTTATTGTTGTTCCTTAGCAACTGTCACTATGCAACCATCAGACATTATCATGATTATAAATTCTCAGGTTCATTGTTTATCAGTTTAAAAATTAGATTTTTCCTGTTTCATCCTTTTAATTTTTCTTTTAGTATTGACTAGAGAATATGCCTAATACAATACTGTATATAATACAACAGAAGTTGCAAGATTAATCAACGCAAACTATAAATAATCCCATTAATTATATCTTAATATTGGACCTTCCACAGTGTCAATCAAAATTAATAATTGGCCAATCAGAATGGCGCCTGAAATACGTGCATATCCCACATGATGTTTTACAGTGAAATTTATTTGTTTTTGCCAGATTTCACCTTGCAGCTAAACTTGGCCAGTACCCATGCCTTGAAATTCTACTGCAACTTGGAGCTGATGTGAATGTTGTTGATAAGAAAGGTATTGTAGAATCTACTATTAGTATTCAAATGTTATGACATGCCAGGACTGATTGTTATATCCATGTCATTGGTGTGTTTTTAACTACTTTAAATGTAGTGTTTACAAATACAGTCAGGGATGTAGTTATGGTGGGCAGGGCCACCCACCCTTGTAGTTTTCCACCTAGTCTGAAGCTAATTACTTCCCCCCCCCCCCCCTACC